AGACTTCTATCCGTACAGCGCTTCGCTTCCTCATCCCGAGTGTCGGTCAGCATCAGCATCAGCGTCAGCGTTGGCGATCGTGATCGACCCTTGTTCGCTTACGTGTAGAAGTGGATAATTAGCTTCAACCCACGCTGTCCTGACTTGCCACGAATGGGCTGACGACCGAAATGAGTAGGTATCCAAGAGGTCAGCCAAATCTTGCGGCCTGTCAAGCTTATTTGTGCCGTTGCCACACACTAGCTTTTGAACCATTCATAGTTTAGCTCGCCTGTGATATGGGTCTGTATGAATATACTGTGTTACGTAGTCGGAACAAGGCCGAAAATCGCGACCGTCCGACGGTGGCAAGCCTCGTCGCAAACGGTCGGTAGAACTCAGAAGACTCAATTGCCAGGACGTCGGATCCGCACGTGTGTTCAGCCAGGCCGAATTTGGACGCAGACTCGGTAACTCGATCTTGAGCGTCCGTATGTTTGGTCACATCATCGCAACTTCTACTCTGCAGTAGGCTGTAGTGGCTGGTGTATGAAGAAACCCTTGATAGCATTAGCACCCAGTCGACTGTTGGGTGTCGTGGATGCTTGGGTTCTCACCAGCCGACATTAAACTTGCAGTCTAGAAATTCCAATCACGACGCCAAATGTCGTCGTCATCCTGGGACAACCTGACCGATCTAAGGAGTCAGGTAAACCAACCAAACCAGCCCGTCTTGAATCAGGTGGAACCGAGCCATTGCCGGAGACGGATGAATCGTGAGAAACGCTCTTGATATTTTGCTTGTCCCAATGTCTGAGACCATATCCGTACCTTGGCAAGAGCTAGTGAGCATACCTATAACCTTGCAGACACCCAGACTCAGCAACCAACCACGTCCAAGGGGGCGAAAGGGGCAAGGGAGAAAGAAGGAAACCCGGCTTTTCCTGGGGCCTGTCACGATCCTCCCCCTCATCTTCCCACCGCATGTATTCCTTCCTCCTTCGTCGTATTGGATCGGCCGCTACGCCTTTACTCCTTTCGCATCCGGAATGGCTGCAACTGCAACCCTCCAGTCCCAGCAAGCGTTGCGTAAGGTAGCACACATAACGGCCAGCAACTCCTTCGTCAAACACCAGGGTCAAGTTGCACGTTGCCAACAACAATCGGGCATGCCGTACCCGCCGAAACTCGTCCATGGAGGTTCGGGTGGTGAGAGTATTTGTTACGACTTATCTTACCGCGCGCCGAACCACCATGTCGGGCACCTCATGAAGCCAAGCGATGCAGTTTTCTGGGGGAAAAGAATACAGTGGCATTCGTCTCCAGATTATCAAGCCACGCATGCCTTTAACCTCAAATCGGAACTGGCAAGTTGAGACATCAAGCCAGCTTAGGCGGGCGGGCACCAAACCCGCTCCTTGATTTGTTAGCAACTTGGCACATCTGGGTATAATAGTACCAAAGCAGATGTCACACGAAGCCTGCGCTAAGGTAGCCTACCTACGTACCTACATGCCGGTTGCCCTCAACCAACGGAACCCAACCTGCATTCTGCAATACGTTTGATGAATGTGGATGGCGGATGGTAGGTGCCTCAAGCCCCAGATCGATAGTGAGCCATGCCCCCAGCCACACATGCCTATCAGAACGAAGTTCGTAGACTGGTTTGTTCGCAACCAGCAACCGGCACCCACACTACTTCGGAAACAAACCTCATCTTCCCGCACCATGTGCCCTTATTCCCGAGCAGAGGAGGCCCAACCCCGCCAGAGTGCCAGAGACACTTTAGCATCCCTCACGAGTCCACGACACATCTCTCTCTGTGTTCGTCAGCTTTATTCCCTTCGGTTTTGTTCCTTCAGCTTTCTCGAACTCTTTCTATCTTGTCTTTAGTATTTTGCTCAACAGCCATCGGGCTTTCCCGCAACCTTAACCAAGATATGCGTACAAATACGCGAACTTCAAGTGAGGCGTCCGGAGTGCGAGGCATGGTTAAGCGGATGGGGCGCCGGGGACGGGTCGGCTTGCGGCGGCAGAGGCGGAAAGGGGTGTGTGCTAAGGCGTGCTAGACCAGTGAACCCGCACTCTACTGTGTACGTAGCCTTTGTAGTCACGAATTAGTACGGCAATACCTGCAGACGGGGCTCTCGCTCGTCTGATGATCCGACGGCAATGATTTCATACCATCTCTTCTTGTGGTCAGAGCAGTCCTCTCGGGCTCACATCCGTCGGGAGTCTCCAGATAAACCACCTCAGACATGGCCTTTCTAGAAGGTTTCCGTCGGGAGAAGATGAGGTCATACGAGGGTGGGATTTCCGGGACAGACAACTTGGAGAACAAACAGACGAAAAATAACAGACATTGGTCGCTGAATACTTGCTGCCCCTTCATTCACCCTGTTTCCTTCAAATCAGGGGACCTTGTTCTCTCGATTGGAGCAGATCCTCCTCCGTCTCAGTCGCGAATTATTCGCCGCGTCCACACTCTCTCTGTACTGTGGTAGTATCGTTTTGAACGGCTCGAGATTATTTACTTCCATGCATCGGCTTCTCACATAACGACGACGCCCGTCGAGGTGTTTGTACCCATCGCGGCAGCGTTTGCATTACCATCATCCTGTGGGTGTTTGGGCTTTGAAATGCCACACTTTTCAACTGCCGAACAAGTGAGTGTGTGTGTGTGTGTGACCCGTCGGCTCAGAAGCAGTATGGGGACGGAACGGGGGCTTGCTTGCATTGTCCCGATTCCAATTTTGTGATCAATCGCTGACGATCCCATTCCAAGTCGAGACGTGTCTGCCCGTGGCGTTGTGAAGTGCTGATGAGATATTGATCGCTATTCGGCGGCGGCATATATCGAAAAGTAATATGAACACAATATTGTCCATGCCTATCAGACCAAACGTGTCGGACATCATTTTGTGGACTGTATTTGTACGAATTGACTGTAGGATCTAAGGGTGCGGGACGCAGGTGGCAGGGACCCTTCATCAGAATACATACATACACCCTTGCATGAAATCTGCCGTTGCTCACCCCCCTCTCAAAGGACTTGAATGTCACTCTCTGCTTTCGGTAAGTTGGCGACCTTGCTGGACGATGTAATGTGGGCGGGCTTGGAGGTTACTGTAGACGGAGCCCGCTTGGGTCAATCTTCCGGGGTTCATTAAAACACGGCAGATTGGGTACTTGGCTATGCCACATCTAACCTCCTTTATCATCATTTCATCTAGTATCCGTACTCCAAGAGTCCAGTATCATCATGAGGCACGGGATGCAAGTGGGAGAGGGAGAGGTCAGATTAGTATTGTAGGCAGGCGGGGAGTACCGTACCCATGCGTCTATTTGGCATGCACTGAATGAACAGTGTGACGGCATCTGTTGGACTGCAGCACATCGCGTCACCCCCCGTCTCATCATTTCCTCTCTTCGTGGGTTCTCCCATTGCCGAACGGTGGGAACCCACCGTGAGACGTGACGACGGAGTCGGGGAGGGGTTTGCTTCTGGCCCGTCTGAATGGCGCCCGTACCATCATCGCATGGCGTTATGCCACAATCAGAAAGTCCAATGCCGCATGCTACTAGTATTGGTGGATGTTGATGTAATTAGACATTCTCACCTCGACGTGCAAGGCTCCCGCCAGCATCGTCTATCTTGGTGTGTCGCTACACGTGTACGAATACCGTACGTATTGTATCTTGAGCGTCCCTTGGTGCTTAGATCTGGGGCAGATAGAAACAGAGAGGGCCGCCGGTAGGTGGTCGGTAGGGCAAAGGGAACTCGAGTCGAAGAATTAGACAGTGATGGCGTGGAGCAAACGAATGCTGGAGAAACGACGCCAAGCCCAAGATGGACCGGGGAAAGAAGATTTCCAGTCAGATAGAGTCTGGAGAAGGGAACACCAGGCACAAATTCACAGTGAAGATGGCCTCGGCCCGTGCAACCCATTGCAATAATCCACTGCGTATCCGTACCGATGTGCATACCTACTCGGCTGATGGCGCTTCATCTCAACCACTGTTAACACGAGCAGTGCGAAAGTGTACAGTCTGTATCCGTACGGAGTTATGATAGTGCCGTTCATTGCAATGCCTGGCTGTGGCAGCAGCGCGGCCGCTGCTGGCCGGGTATTGCTTTTATCGCATTGGTGGGCCGAGCCCAGTGACGCAGTAGATACGGTAGTGCGACGGGAGCAGACAGAAAATGGTCTGCCGTGGTTCGGGTTGGGTTGATGGAGTTATTACGGACACAATGTCATCTGTTGAACATGAGGACGCAAGGAGGTGCGAGCCATGAGTGGCGTGGTGTGGCGCGGCGGCGGCGGTTATCCCAACGGCACCGCTCGCTCCCTCTTTCTCTCTCTCTCTCTCTCTTGCGGATACTCCTAGTCTCATAGTCTCACCCTATGCTCTGTAAGAGCTCCGTAAGCTCGCGTGAGCGGCGAGCCAGGGGGTTCCTGGCATTTGGCACTTTGTGCGGAGCCGGCTAGAGAGACTGCGCGACTACGACTGATTCAATCAGGGCGGCACCGAAGCTAACTGGGAAGCGAAACGGACGGTGAGACGGAGAGATGGCCGAAATAGCAAGGAACCCATCTATTGGAAATGGAAGGCGCCAAAGGCGAGCTCTGAGAGCGACAGAGAGAGCAAAGGCGTGCGCGCTCAGATACCGTCTCCTAATTACTGTGTAGATGGGATTAATACAGTGAAGTAGTAAGGCAGTGGATGTTTAGTATGTTGAGACTAGCAACTCTCTCGCGAGAAAGTTGCTGATATCGCTAGGGTCCTGTAAGACGCAATACACTCTGTTGGTTGTCAGCTACACAAACCGAGTCCTGTCCTGCACAACTGCACACCGCGGATGGAGATATGGTAATCAATGTCAAGCTTGTCTGGTGGAATCCGTGACAACAAATTACGCCATTGGCATGCATTGTACGGATAAAGACTGAGTCGAGGGCTCCCATTGAAAGTGTCGGACCAAAGCCGGCGCTGGCGCCCGACGCCCATCGAAAGTAGTGTTAAATGGACTGATGGAGCGACCAGCGGATGAGATGGGGCAGGAGATGGGACGGAGCAGGGGGCAAACTGTGGATGGTCAACAAGCGCGTCAAGTGATTGGGTGTTGATGGGATGAAACGGGGGAAACGGCCATGGGCCAAGCAGGTGAAAAGGATAGCCGGCACAGCGATCACGATCACGATGACGGTGACCGGTCTGGTCTGCTTCTTTCTTACCCTATGCCTCAAAGCCAAAAGACGAGGGCAAGCAACGAATAAGCGCGAAATGGCGAGATGACTGGGGGGGGGAGACACAGACTGAGACTGCGGTTGATGGGATACTGATAGGCGAAGCCGACGTAACCCCCAGTGCTGGGCTCCTTATCCGTACTCTGTACGGAAAAGGGCAAATGAAGATGATGTAGACTGAAGCCGAACAACGTTGGATGGACCAGGCTCACAATGTTAACGCAAAATGGACTGCAGGTCCCTGGCAGGCCGCGGCCGTGCCTACCCTACCGTACCATACCGAGGCTACCGTTGAGAGAACATTTGCACAAAAGAAAACAAAAAACCCCTAAGGTAAATGGAATACTCTATGCAAAGAGGAAAAGAGGACAAGAGGATGGATGGCATAGTTCAACGACGGGAAAGTTAAGAAGAAGAGGGAAAAAAAATTAAAAAAAAAATAATAAAGACCCAGCCTAGACCACCGTAATCCCCGCGACCCGCTCCTCTTGATCCCGTCACGCCCGTTATCCCTCCCGTAACTTTCAACCCCTCCAGTCATGTCCAGCCCAGAAGCAAAGTTCCCTCGCCCGCCATGAAATGCTTACCTAAGGTCATCCCTGTCTACTTCCCTTCCTCCAATTGTTCCATATGCCTTCCAATTACCCGTAGGCAGGTGTATGTGCTTTTCCTCTGGCTTTCCCTAAACGGGTTCAATCGGCCCATGCAGCGCCTTCATTGGAGCACTCGTACCCTAATTCGAAGCCTTCTAGCGCAGTCTAGTGCTGAGGCCCCACTCACACTAATCTGAGCGGGCTCAGTTGATCACGACTATCCCACCCCTTTTCGTTTGCCATGGCTGTCTCCCAACTCATTCCCCCCTACCGTCACCTTTCCATCCCGTCTTCCACCCGTCTTCCACCCGTCTTCCACCAGTCTTCCATTTCGTCTTCCCGCCTTTCTTCGGCCGCTCTTGTGCATCATTCCTGTCAGGTCAAGGTCACTTTGGACTTGCTCAGACTGTAACATTCCCACCCCCTGCTGATTGCTAAGCCAGCCAGCCGTCCAGCTCCCGAGAAAAATAAGAACAACAAGGAAACGAAGGAGAAAGGGAAGGGGGGGGGGTAGGGGGTCAGGGCCACTGACCATAACACCGAACCCCCCTTTTACGATAGGTAATATGACTCCACAGAAGGACGGGGCCAAGAAGACCACTCAACCCATCGTCTCTTGGCTACGATAGGGTGCTCTGGCTCTTCCAGCCTGCCTCGACTCCAGTCTCGGAAGGGTACTCGGCATCCTCAGAAAGCCGAAAGTCCCGTCTTTAGCGGGCTTCCATTCGGAGAGCTTTGGGGTTTTTACACGCAACCACAGGCCAACCGCAGCAAATTCTCCCCCGCCTCTGTGCCACGGTGTCGTCGCAAGAGCAACGCGTCACTTCTAGGTCGTTAGTCACGGCATGCCTCCACCGGTACCCGCCTGCGGTGCTGGTGACTTGGTGTTGCTTTTGCGATTTTGGTGTCACTGTGTCTGCAGAATACCCAGTTGTCTCCCTCTGTCTCTCTGGGGCTCTGGCCCTGTCGTGCACTTCGGGGCTTGTCCGCCGTTATTAGAGACAAGTCTAGGAGCATGTTAGCAACATGGAAGGGTATCTTACTGTTAGAGGCAAAGCAATGCGCATATTCCATCGCTTAGTCTCTATTGGCCGCCGACCGTCTTCTGGCCTTCTCTTTCCGGGCAATGATGTGCCTCCTGCCTCGTCTCGTCTCCTTTGCCTAAAGAACCCTGCAAGCACGTATCGTACACTACTATGGTAAGGTAGGCCGTAGGCATTTCCGTACAGGGTTAATCGGTGCCTTTTCTCTTTTTCTTCTACTACCTCTTCTTTTTTTCCCTCCAGCGGTGATACCCGACTGGAGGTCGTTGGTCAAGTATTGCTACCACCCGTCTTCGCTGCGGTCGATACCTTGTTCGTGGTCTTTTGCTGCGTACCTCCTTTAGCGTCATGAACTTGATCACAAATCCTGGCAGGCTCCCCTTCCGCTGGCAGGCTTCCCCTGCTCAAAAGAGTGCACATATCCTGGGCCTTGCCCCGACCAGCGCCTTGTCCGGGTGTCCCTCCAACAGGCTAGAGGGATTGAATGGGCTGGGACCCTCCTGGCTGGTGCTGGTCTGGTGGATGGGGGAATGGCTCTGGGCGGCATGGTGATGGAGGATGGATCTGATTTGAGGTGCGCTCACCCTTCTTCTTTCTGAGGGTTGTCTCTGTGGAACTGGGACCTTGTAAAGTAGGTACTGCTACCCGCTGTCATACCATGTTGGGTGATGTAAAGTAGGGGAAACCCCCCTCGGATACGTACCGCTTGCAACATCGGATACTTGAGGCACATGGCCCCCGGGCGCGCTAATCCTGTGCGGAACATTCCCTCTTGCGGGCCCCGTACCTACCTAACCTGACCTTACTCTGCCATTCCTTGCCTCGCCTCCTCGCCTACCTTGGGTATGATACGGTACGGCCGTCGTCAGAAAGATACTTGGCCCATGTACTTCTTCTGACTGGATGGACACCAGACGCTTTTAGCTATCTCATGTCCTCCCGTCTCCTCCTACCCATCCCCATCAATCCTACCGTTAATGCTTCACCTTTCCTCTCCTTCTCAAACACTCCCGATTCCCTCGAGACAGACATTGCCACTAGTCCTTTTTCCTATTTCCTTCTCCTGCTTCTTCCACTCTCTCACGATACACCGTGAAAAATATCCTCGACGATATCGCTCAACTGCGCGTGATATCCCCTCAGAATCAAGGAGAGATAAACAACGCTGCAAGACATCATCGCCCGCCGGCCTCCGCACATCTTGGCCGACTTCACTCTTCGTGCCCATCACACCACACATCATAACCACTATCCGGACACGGGTCACCAACCCGCTACAACACATACACACACACACTCTCTCTCTCTTTCTCCGCTTTCTTGTCCTACCATATTCCAGCTTCAGGAAAAACCTCTCACACGACGTCGACGAATTCAACCACCATACCACGCCGGTATCGTTTATTTGTTTCGATCAGCATCAACCCCCCGAAATCGAAACTGCAAGACGTCACGCCGCCATTTCCCAAAGCCACGGAGCCAAAGGAACTCGTTTGTACCGCATCGTACCCTCGACCGTGTTGGATAACCGTCGAACGTGTGGCTTGGTTGCATTCCGCATAGATCTCCCAGGACACACTACCACCGGTCTACCTCGAGGCTTTGCTGCATTCTTACTGTTGACTGACTGTCGTATGCGACATTCTGCAAGCAGCGTCTTGCACACTCATTGCCGATTGCGACGAGTCAATTCCATTCCCGTCACCAAGACACTTCTAGCGTCTCCAACCTTGTCTTAGTGCAAGCCTCCTCCCAAAGCCCGCCTGAAAGTAGTGCCCTTATCTACAACGCTCCGGGCTATATACCCCCCGTGAGCCCCCGTCAATTTCAGCGCGACAGCTCTCTACGACCTTAACTGTGCTCGCTTTTTTGGACTAAACACCACCACAATACGCCTTCACACCACATCGAGTATCTACTCACGACTCGCGATTCTTAGACCAATTCTATCCATCGGTACAACAAGACCTGAGTTAGGACACCACATCGACAAACTCACCGCCAAGGAAGACACTGGGTGGAAGGTGACTTGATCCGTCCAAAAAAAAGAAGACAAGTTACACCCCAGGTAGTTTCCAGCGGCATTCAACGCCTTCCATGGGGTCATCGAGACAATCCTAGGCACAGAAGACTGCCCTTTTACACTGGTCCGCTGCTATCATCCCGATCAGCGACTCTTGGCATCTCATTATCTCTGCACAAGAACTTGGCGTGGAAATGAAAAGGTCCCGGATAAGAAAACACTCCCCTATTTACCTGAGTCCTTCACCGTCTCCCGAGAGGGAGCTGCCACCGCCCAGTCCATCCACTACTGCTCTGGATTGGGAATATACCACGATCATGTCGAGGTCGAGACCCACCAGCGGGGCCTTGATGCCCGGCGCTGTCATTTTAACACCACCCACTCTCTCGGAGATTCTCTCTAATACCTCCACTCCGCCATGGACACTAGCAGCCTTCATGGCCTATCTTTCTCAGAACCATTGTCTGGAAACCCTCGAGTTCACCATGGACGCCGACAGATATCGCAAGGCATACGACCAGATCATCAACAACCAGGAATGGATTGGCGATGGTAAAGAGCATGTTTGCTCGTTATGGGAGAAGCTGATGCAAGCATACATCATTCCCTACGCACCACGGGAGGTTAATCTACCTTCCCCCGTGCGGAATCATCTTACGAATCTGGACTGCTCTTCGGCGCCACCTCCTCCAACCGAACTGGACGATGCCGTCAGAATTGTCTACGAGCTCATGAACGATTCTGTACTCGTTCCCTTTATCGAGTCTGTCCAACCGGGCCACGGCGATAGCCGTACGGCGGAGGACGATGGGCGTCCAGGTCGCTTGCGCGTTCGGGCTGAGGGCGCCGGGGCTAGGTTAGAAGAAGCCGTGAAGTCTCCCAAGTTCCTTCCCCAGCTGACTCTAGGTCGCAGCGGTGCTACAAGCCGATCGGCTTCTGCTTCGGGCGAACCCAATGAACGCGAGGGATTGACGGACGACAGCGGAAGCGCCGTTTCTCCTGGCACAGAGCCAATGACTCCTCCCACCACCCCGCCCACATCAGACTGGACATTCAGCACTTCCCCTGGTGGACTTCAACGGGCGTTGACTGCCCACAACAATGGGTGGAAGAAGGTTGGCGCAAAGCTGGGGCTTCATCGCAAATCCCGTTCTAATCGACGAAACAATCCGACCTCGTCAGCCCCGATCACGGACGGCGATGTCACCATGGCGGAAGCTAGCCAGAGCAACCCATTATAGGACGCAGAGGTCATGCCATCAACTACATCCACTACACCAGCGACATCATCTTCTCACCTCCCTCTGGACGGCTTCTCACGCGTCCGTCACCTTTTTAACCCGTGGGAGGAGCCTCATCCAGGTAAACGACTACCCCTCGCGGCGTCAGAGGCCAGCAGTGAAACTAAGAAGGTTGCTTTTACTGGTCCACAACACATCAACATTGGTGGATGCAAAGGTGGCATGGCCGCAAAGGAATTTGGCGCATATCACAATGCACGGCCTTGGATGGTACGACGCCCTATTCGCGTTCGATCGCGAACCAACACTCCGGCTCCCCTGAGGATTACAACGGATATACCTGAAGATGCCAAGTTGAAACCGATCCCAGTTCACCACGTCGGAACTCTTTCTCCCGCAGTGGTCACTCCAGCCATATCTCCCGCGGTACTAGATGATTCTGGCGAAACTGACAGCAAGGTTACCGACGACTTAGCCGCCAATGAGGTTGATGCAAGCAAGCTACCCTTGCCCGCGTCTCCTCCAATCGATTGCCGGTTCACCGATTTCTCAAATTTGCTCGGCATCAATATCCATCCTCCACCAGAAGACGAGGCTGTTGCGATGCCTACCGAAGAACCCACATCCTACTGTCATGCTGTGCCCGATGAGGATCTCTATGGATGGGACGCCGAGCTCGAGCGGCAAAGTCAGCAAAGCAGCCCAATCTTGCCGTACCCGTGCGACGATGATTATCAATACCGGCGGACAAGCATGACGAAGCGCAGCCTCTTGCATCGCGTTTTCAGCATGGGAGGTTCACCCAAGGATATCAACATCGAAGTGCGTCGAGCCAGCAGCACTTCGAGCTAGGATTTTCGCCCAGGACTTCTTCCCCTGCTACGAATCGAACAGATCGTTATTGGCGATACTCTGCACTTCCGGAGCCACCTTGTCTCTTTCTCACATTTTTGAATGTTGATTTTGCCTTTTTTTTTTTTTTTTTTTTTTTTTTTTTTAAACCTCTTTTCTTTTTTTTTCCCTTTTTTTTTTTTTTTTTTTTTTTTTTTTTTTTTTTTTTTTTTTGCTTGAAGCAAACCCATGATACCAATTTCTCCCTACACTTCTCGGCGTTTGTCCCACTTTCCCATTTCGACTTTGTATTCTGGAATCAAATTACAAATCTACCTGGCGGGAGAATATTATCATACATGCATTATTGGGGAAGCAAAAGAGAAATGATAGAGATAAGTTCAGGACATTTGAAGTGGAGTTTTTATGGCATTTATACGGCTTGGTCGGGAAAATCTCATGATGCATTGCGAGGAGCTTTGGCGGGCAGCGGTCGAGTTTCTTCCATTAAGGATGATTTTTTTTATTGTTCGTTTGTTTCAGCCAACGCAAGGCCGGGATGCAAAAAGCATTGGTTGCGCAGCACTCCCTTAGAATGAGGAAAGTCTATTGGAAGTAATGTCGGCATATTTGGGATGACTGAGACGAGGTTGATGACTGTATTTATTAGATGTGTAATAACATCATGAAACAAAGATCTTGCTTTGTTGACTTGATTGTAAACTTTCAACCTGTTCTGATTTGAAGATACCTCGGCACTCCACTGCCATTGTCTGTTCGTCTCAACACTGAAGAGGCCAAGATTTCCGAATAACATGCCCGTTTGCTAGCTCTTCATGCGGACGGAACGCGTGAACCATCGGTGAGGATACTGTCTCCTTCACTGTGCTGCATGGGAGGCATCGATCCTAGGCACATTGAAATAGTGCGTCTTAAACGATGCGTAGGAATCTTCTCCTCGCAAGGCCGACATCTCCACCCCTCATTGTTCCATCAATACCGAAAAGTCTTCGGCAAGCAGTTTGTCACGTCAATCTGGCCGCCGCTCTGCCCGTCCGTGCTATCATCCTAGACCAAAACCTTTTGCAAAGGAACTGAGACATCAAGCCAATGCGAAGGAAGTGACAACCTGGTTTACAGAACTACGAGACACCCTTTCTTTGTCATTGACGAAAGTCTCGCAGAGCTTGGAGTTTTTGTCTCTCAACCTTTCCATCATCCTGAGCTTACTCACACTAGTTACGGACGTTCCGGCGACCCGTGGCCCAGCAGCAAACATTACGGCCGGTAACCTTACGAATGAGACGACACAGACTTTGGCGCTTGCACGCCTGATTTCTGTCACACTACCTTCCAGCTCCCTCAGCAATGCCGTCACGGCGAGAAGCATAATGGCGTATTTCAGCGAGCTGGTAGAGTCACTGCTTTTTTTTTTTGGCCGTTCGACTCGGTTTCCTGGTGGTGGGAAGGGTTGTCCCATAGACTCAAGGAACATGAGAGCTGTACCTAGTCGAATTAGCATCCGGTCGAAGGAGTATTAGAGAGCAAAGTCCACTTTCCCCCATGCTCACTCGAAACTCCAGACATGGCCGCTGCCTCTCTCTTTTCTGTACACCAACCTCCCCCCCCCCCCCCCCCCCCCCCCCCCCCCCCCACCCCCCCCAAAAACCCAACCCCCACCCACCGAAACCCCCCCCCCCCCCCCCCCCCCCCTCTCCTTCTCTCCCCCCCCCCCCCCCCCCCACCCGCACCCCCCCCCCCCCCCCCCCCCCCCCCCCCCCCCCATGCTGCGCAAGCACATCACAAAACGCAATCTGCCAAGGTGTAAAGCTCTCTGCCTCCAACTCTACCCTATGTTGGTTTCTAATCTCATTCTGCCAGGAGCACAAGCGGGTCCTTGCTTATGCCATTGCCCAAAGTACGATTAATTACGGATGCTCCCGATCCGGCGAGTTTTGACGTCACAGTATAGCTAAGTACCCCTATAGTGCCTACGGAGATATACCGTCGTGAGTTCATAGACTTAGCTCGAGTGGCGCATAGATGCATACCTGACAGCCAACAGCCACCGCAGGTATCGGGGCAGGCTGTTGATAGTAAAGACTCCCTGGCGTCAACATGTGTATGTATGCACTGATATTCACTTCAGATTGACGGTTGGGACATTTGCCGCCTGTAGATTGCCTAAAAACCAGGGTATCTAGCCATACTTCTTTCCTTCTTTCGAAATACCACAAAAAAATCCGACCTATCCCCCGAAAATGCAGAGAATCTTTTTCTCTGTGAAGGCTACCGACTCTCGATAGCGATGGTGAATAGCTCGTCGACAAACGTTGGTACATCGTTTACCCTTTCCGCCTCGACATTGGAACTCTGCATGCCGCCACCAGCATGAACGTTGGTTCTCACCTCGGCCACCTGGAGTGTTCGCATCTCAATGGCACTGCCGTTCGTGCTGGTAACCCGACATTCATCATTCATAGCCCCCGCCTGATCATCCCCGATGTTGCCGGGCACATTTCCGGGGCTATCGCTGGCCCTTCGGCCTAGCATCGTTGGGGTTCTTCGGTTGGATATGCACACATCGTGTGACCCGGGGTGGGACATATCATCGGCTTTGTGAATCTCGACGCGGATCTCTTCCGACACCATGATGCCCCCAAACGGTGACGACTGGTTGGCCGCCTCTTTGTTCGTATATGTGGGAGGCGCCCCATCGAAGCTTGAAGTACCCGGTGACATGGGGTCACTATCTCGTCGGCCTGTCCAGAGTTTTAGGGTCGAGCTTGATGCATTCGAATTCGTTCTCGATGAAGAGCGTCCGATGGCTGTGGGAATTGTGTTTCCTTTGGAATCGACGGGATGCGACGGGCCGAAGCGACCAAATTCACGAAGACGCGACGAGAACCGGGACTTCCTGTCTCTGCCCATGGCCGGGCGAGGCTTTTCAAGCGGCACAGACTGTACGACCGGCGCCAGCTCGCGGTGAACCGATTGAGTGAAGGCGAGATGTCGTGATGCGTCCCGACCCACCAGTTGATGGACCTTGAAAAAGTTCAATGGAACGAACTCGCATTTAGGGCTGGAGAAGATGACGTGAATCGGGATCACCATGCGGAAAGCGATCAAGCTTGTCGGCTGCGACGATGAGCCTGCAACCTGGTCTGCAGGTAGAGTGACGACAGTGCTAGTGAGGATGGCCTCGTTGAAAATTGGGTCATCGATCCAAGTCCTTAATGCGTCGAGGCTTTCAGTCAGCCGTGTTGCGAAGAGCATTTCGCGTGTGCCCAAATTGCTCATAGAAGCGATCCTTCTGCTCACCCCGAGCGTAGTCAGCCGGTCGAGCTGCTGGAGAAAGTCCAGGTGCCACGGTTCGACTCGATCAAAGGGCATCCGCACGCTAGGGAGGAGGTGTCGGGCCCCCTTACGAACAGCAACGTCGAACCCGTAACTGCCTACTCGAGCGCGAATGCCAAAGAAGCCCACGTGTACGCCGGGCTCAAGCTGGTTGTTGTCGTTGGCGTACGAAGCCATGTTCTGAAGCTTTGCCGCCAGGTCTCTCGACTGGATCTGCATGCTGGACGCGATGATGTTGCTCACTTGGCGGAGCTCTGCGAACCGGTAGCCGGCGGCCTCGAGTCTCTCGATCTCTCGATCGGTCTGCACCCGGCGCACCAAGAACATGAGAGAACCCCGCCCGAACTCATGAGCCTTACGGCGGCCAATACCTTTTTCTGCAAGATCATCGCTATTGCTAGTTGCCTCGACCTTCCTCAGCGAACCGTTGGGTCTCAGAATGGCGTCGACTTCTTGTTGACTGCTCGTCTCATGTCCAGGACGTTGTCCGCTCGCACCCGTTGGCAAGATCTCGTCCCACAAGAGTCCGACAGATGTCAGATGCTCCTTCATCTTCTCAGCGAGACCGGCGGCGGCAACGCAGAATAATTCGCGGAAGATGACGTCGTAATTCTCAATCAGCTCGCCATGCTCATTGATCAATTGAATGCCGGCACGAGAATCACGGTCGCGGCCACGCTTTGGAAGATGGGCAAGGTGGTTTGTCATTCCCCCAACGAGGGCAGAGATGCCAGACCAATTTCTCGACGCCTGGAACATCCACAGGAATAGGGGGTGAGCGATGCTGAAGTTGTCGCTGGCATTCTTTTCTAGGAATGTGTCGGTGATCTTTTCTGTCGGGACCAGACCATCTGGGTTGACAAGGATGCGGTTGTGCTTGTCAAAGACCGCAGCAGCGAGAACAACCTGTTGAGCCTTGCTGGCATAACGTCTCATGATACGGGCGGTGTAAATGGCTGTTCCGCCCATGACGAAGCAAGCGCCAATGGACTAGTCAAAAGGTTAGCGACTCTTGGGCCTTTGTCGACGAGGGAATCGAAGACATCGTCTCACCAAGCAAATAACAACAATGACGGTGGTGTTGCGGGATAGTTCGTTGCTCCCGACGTTAAGACGAACGAGTTGATACTCGGTACCTGTGGCAGCGCACCAATGCATCCCCGAGACTGCGCCAGCCAAAACGACAGAGCAGGCAGCTCGTTTCCACCAAGACGTTGTCCAGGCTGCGCGGAAGACGAAGAAGAGAGCCAGAGCCACGATGCTTGCAGCGACTGCAATTAGTGCCGCACCAACTACATTGATCGGGTTGTAAATGCAGATGTAGTTGTCGATGGAGTTGTTCCCGAGATAATGCATTCCGCAGATCGCAGCACCAGCCAAAACACCACCGATGCAAACTCGCCACCAAGAAACGGTATTATTAATACCGACGGCGACAAAAGCAGCGAGAAGCACGGCAATGGGGACAAAGAAGGACAAGGCTGTGAAGCCGCTCGAATACGCAATTTGCAACTCGGGTTCTCCGTTGGCCAAGTCGATGGCTCTGTTGCCGATGAAGTGCTGGAGGCGGGTCAGAAGTGGCAAGCACTCGAGGGCAACAGACGTACCATGCACCAAATTGCGATACCGCCCATCGTGACAGCAGAGCTGACCAGAAGCAGACTGTTTGTTCTATTGTAAGCCGAGAGTTAGGGGATGACCTTGCTGATGATGCGTACTGATTGAACTTGCCCTTGGGCGAAGTTCGTCTGTTGAGCAGTTCGAGCGTGGAAGCGGCGCCGATCAAGCTTACGGCGAAGCTGAGAGTGATGAAGCCGCCATTGAAGGCTCTTGGAACCACCTGTCCGTGGTACTCTGCAAACAAGTCCTCAGTTGTTGCGGGCATTTTGACAGCAACATGGGGGAAAGGCCACCCAAAATCGTATCGTTCTGGAATGTCTCTCCTTGACCTCGATGGTCAACCGGCGGCTCACTGATATATTTCTCAACGCGCGTGGTAAGCCGGGGAATGAAAAGACCGTTGACCAAGCTAGGAGAGAATATGGATACGTGCATCCTAGCGAACGGCTTGGGGACCCGTTCAAGACATATATCAAGGGTGTCAGGGTAAGACAGAGAGGTGGCGGTACAAGACTGGCGGATGCTCTGGGCGCGCAACATGTCCCCATTGACACCGAGCCTATTTCTCACGAAGGACTAGCTGGGATTCCATGTTTCCCACCTTTCTTCTCCTCTTCACCCTTACTGGGCGCGAAGACGGGCAGCTATTCCTGGGCCTATAGCTTGGAATAGGAGGCTAGACTTGGCCAATGTACCTATGCCACGCTTAGCCAGGGGCCGGGTGTTCCTGGCTGGTCTGAGCTGATCGACCTTGAGTGGATCGAGAAGCGGTGGTTCGTCGGTAAAGGCCAGCCGAGCCGATCAAGATCAGAACAAGCCTCTTCTTAGCCTACTCCAAAAGTTGGCGTACAACTTCGTCCTCATCTAGCTCGGACCTTCGTTCTCGGTCACCTGCTTTTCGTGACGGCCTAGTGTGCGATGAGCTATCTGTCGTAGCGGGCTGAGGGGGTGTGGCTTTCCTCGGAAAAAGGCGAGGAAATTGGCCGCTCCTCTGGTCCAGAGAGAGATGATTGCGCGACTCTATTTGGTGACGACTGTCTCGACTTGGACGGTGAGTTTGACAGCAGAGACAGAAGTTTAACATCTGCGAATCTCCACTTGAATCCCATTAGACATGTAAGAAGAAACGGCATTTCAGCCACTTCTGGCTAGCCCGACGTAGGGATTGGCAAGCCTTTCAGCTAGCTGGTCGCTACATGGAACATGTCGTAGACACGCATGAAGAGAGACCTTTCAAGTTCCAACACCCAGTACCAACTCCAAATACTCAGCCGCTTCCTACGCAGAGATTGTTGGATTTCGAGACGTGTAGACGACAACAGCTAGCGGCATGAGAGACACGGCAGGGTCAAGGGAGTCCCCTCCTCGCCCTTGATTGAGCAGAAAGGCAGCGTCTTGTTCAACCGAGGTGACTTTCACGGGTTTTCCTTTGCCTAGGAGGCGCTCGACTAATTGATTAGTCTCTACATGTACACCACCGCTCGCCGTGTTCGAGTCAACGGTTGGCCCGGAAATCTTGGCTTGGGCGCGCGATTATGTGCTGCACGACTAGCCCCACGGTGATAAATACGCCAGGAATCACAACTGGTACCTCATGCTTTGCAATGAATCAAAGCCACCGTTCGGAAGACACTCCCGTAACACTCCCGCAAAACTTTAACTTCTATTGGCTTTTGAATCTTTTCAGAGCAATCTGGCTGTACGCATATTCGCGGACCGTTGTTGGGATGATGTGGACGGAAGATGGTAGTAGGGTGATCTGCACTCATCCCTGCGGACGGAAACCAGGGGTGGGGGATGCGAACTCGGAACTGGAGAGTATCATCCGGCTATAGAGAGGCCGCGATGGAAGCTCATTCGCTAAATCGAGACGTGATGCGTGGGCATCTACGAATACCTACACGGCTCCTCGGGTGGGACTCGCTTATTCAACGCATGTTTCTTCTTCCTGCAGCAGCGTCGAGCTTCAGCTAAGCCCACCCACCCGGAGGAGCACGCATGTGCAGCGACCTTATACGAGTCGACAGTCTCTCAGCCAACCGTCGTGCTGTCTTGCCCGACACGTCAATTGCTAGCTTCGATCCATATCCTTCCAACGGGATAGCCTAGGCCAGCTTGGAATTCCAAGTCCCCTTTCCTGTCCCGCAGCTTGCAGACCAGGAAGTTGTGCACGACTCTGGATCGCCACTGGGGTCATCAAGTGTACATCTGCCTTGGGGTCTTTCTTGCCCCGTTGACAGGAAGAGGCGGCCGCCGATGGCTTGACGAAATCTAATTCTTTGGCAGCACGGAGTACACGGGTCTTGCATCGATTCGAATCACACCAAAGTTGCACTAGTGAACGCCATAGATGCAGATATGGCCCGCCGTCGCCGCTCATCCCCCCTCATAAACAACGCACAGGGCTGTTCGACTGAGCGCCCAGTAATTTACGCAGCACTCTGTACGGTGATGAGGGTGCAAGGGGTGCATCATCAGCTTAGCATCGTCTCTTGCATCTACATTCGCCATGCCGCTACGAATACATACTTTTCAACCCTGAACCTTGTCCTAACCCAAGTTCTGGGGAAACACCAGAACGTCGAAAGGGTAAATGCAAGGGAGCGGGAGTCCACGAGAAACGATTGGTACGTATAGAGCCTAGAGAATTGCGCTTACATAGTACTCAGAGAAAAGGATGCAGGACCGCTTCGCTAAACATCCCTGCAAGTCAACTCCTACTACTTGGTTCGAAGTCACCTCATGTCCTCTTACCTGTGCTCGCCGTCGAGGTAAGATTGTCCCCTGGATGCAGAAATTCTGCCGTAGACAACCATTCAAGAGGGTATGGTCAGACGCAGGAGTTCATCCCACTTTCTACCATACAGAGCGAGACGTTCGCCTTGCAGATTATCATCATCAAAGTCCCGCCGGGCCTTGGTCTTTGTCCAAATGACATTACACGGCCATAATGGGCTTTAGCTGGTGATACTCTTTGGCCCATGTGGCCGAAACGAAGCCGAAGCTAAGGAAGATGTAGGGAGACGGAGAAAAGAAACGGCCATGACGGATGACACGACGTACAGAGTCGACTAAATAGGCACGCTGATTCCAATGTCTTGGTTGGCGGTTCAGCTGCGGTTGGGCAAGAGTAGTACGACTAGCATCCTGGGCGGGCCGCGGAGGGCCGCATCTTCTCGTTAGTAACTCCTTGCGTCACTCTTTCCTGTTCTCCATGTTTGGTCTGTCACGTCCCTCCCACATTAGCCTCGCTTATCCCTACTTACAAGATGCTGATCGAAGTTTCCAAGAGGAGCTACCACCCGCCTGCGACCACGCATAAGCTATCCATGGAATGCTCGTCCTACACCCCAAGCTCCGACGCGCCGTGCCATCTTGCAACCATCCCAAACTTGAGGATCCAACTCCTGGCTTTACACGTTGGCCAAGACGTCGGTCGATTCGTCGCAATGTCCAACTCGAAGACAAGCGAAGGTAGGGTTTGCTCACTCTCTTCGGCTAACAGTACCAATGAATGTGCCACTAAGTTGGGAGACTAGCACAGACCACGATTATATGGCCCCTTCTGCCATGTGGTTATTACGATGAGTCGGTCGGTACGTTTCCTGAGTCTGAGGGAATCTCCCAACTATACCGTTTTGGACTGTCTAGCCCTTCCTGATCTGATTGCGCAAGGTCTTGTTGATGTTGCGCGTGCACAAGGCTCTCTTCCTAGCCATTTCGATTTATAAGTTTCTCGCCATGTGAATGCCAAGTGTTTGGTCAAATTGGGAATGAAAACCAATCAGATCTGGAGATTGCCGAACTTGGGGCGTCAAGCATGCGAGCGACTGCTGTTCGGAGCAGTTCATGCCTTCGACCATCGGATCCGATTCTTCTCGAGAAGGTGTGGTAATCCAAGAGTCTGTCCCCTGAGCTAGCGACAGTATGGCGCAGAATGGCCCGGATGCCCCGGTCATCTGAACCATCGTCAGTCGGACGAGCCCCCAATTCGAAGTATACCCGATTCACCACACCGGACGACAGTTGACCAGAGAAGCAACACAGACAAGTCAGTGCGCCAGCTGTGTACCCTAGTGTGGGCGGAACAGATTTCGAGCTGGGGTTTCCATTACCGTACAGATGTCATTTCTTTGGTGTCTGGCTGGCTGAAGTCTAGCGAACTAGTTGTTCTAGATGACCTGATGTTTGGTCAGTCCACACGTCAACTTCAGGATACTTGGTGCCTTTGTCCGTTAGTGCAACGGGCCGCTTCTCTTTGACGTATCGAACAATGGAGATCGTCTGATTGTCTTGCAAAGCTAGGAAAGGTACCACCCTCCTTGACTCACAGAGGAAGTCCAACGGTGGGCTTCCTGGATCGCTTGCGAGACTAGAAAGCGAGAGCCGAGGTATGAGACATGTCTGTCACAAGCTCCCCCCCC